GTATTTAAACAAAGACAACCCCTATCCCATAGTCCAGCTGATAATATGTTCTGATGGTAAATGACCTAGTGGTTAACTACAATTGATCTTATTTATCGACCCACATCAACCTCAAATTCAAAGTCACAATTTGATTCTCCATAGCCTCCCCAGATGTTTTCAGCCTGAGATCTAGCAATGTCCTGGCAAACAGTCCTGGCTGGTGTTGGCCTCCGCTTCTCCACTGCCAGTGATGTTCCTAGGCGAGCGGGGGGGGGGGCTTTAGAGGCTTCTCCCAGCCAGGCTCCGCCCTCCAAGCCTCCACAGGTGTCTCTCAGGAGGCAGTAAGGCAAACAGTCCTGGCTGGCGTTGACCTCCACTTCTCCGGAGCACAGCTCTCTATTGCCTGGCTACACTGAGGCTGTATCTTCATTGCAGAATTAATGCAGTTTGACACCACTTTAACTGCCATGGCTCAATGCTATGGAATTTTGGGAACTGCTGTTTTATGAGAGATTTAGCCTTCTCTGTCCAAGAACTCTGGTGCTGCAAAAAGCTACAAATCTCAGGATCCCACAGCACTGAGCAATGACAGGAGGAGTCAGGCTGCATTAATTTTGCAGTGTGGCAGCAGCCTAAGAGTGGCTGGTACACTTAAGACAGGTCTATATAAAACCCGCCTTAAGTCACTTAAGGCAGGTTTATATAAAACCCAGGGATGTGGTGGCTCAAGTGGTTAAGACACTGATTCTGTTGATTGCAAGATCAGCAGGCTGGCAATTCGAGGCTCAGGTACTGCATGATGGGATGATCTCCCATCACTAGTCCCAGCTTCTGCCAACCTAGCAGTTCGACATAATGCAAATGCAAGTAGATAATTAGGTACTACTTCAGTTGGAAGGTAAACAGTGTTCTGTGCAATCATGCTGGCCACAGGATCACAGAGTAGCCTCTGACAATGCTGGCTCTTCAGCTTAGTAACAGAGATGAGCACTTCCTCCTACGGTCGGACACGACTTGACAATCTTGTCAATGGGGAATACCTTTACCTTTATATAAAACCCATCTCAAGTCTCATGAGAGAAGGTTCTCTCACAAGAGTTCCACATTCCCAAAAGGTTAAAAATCTTTCCAGAGCTTAAAATTCTCATGAAGTTCCTTCCTCTCACAACACTTTAGCCAGGCCTGCCTCATATGCTGCTCATCTCAGTTGCCTGGACGTGTTGAACTGGGAATAAGGAGACTGGGCATGAACCACGCTTGCAGCAGATAAACCCCCAATGCATTTCACATGTAATTTAAAGTCATTTTTACTGTGCACCAAATGCTTGGACATTAATCTGATGCCAGTGTGGCTGGTGCTTGCCCCCTTCCTCTCAAAAAATACAGGACTTGGCCACAAAAACATATACAACATAGTCAAGTTCCAGTCCTACTTTTGTATTTCCACAGTCCAGTAATTTGTACCAGCATATCCCCTTTCATCATCTAGATATATGTGATTTAAATGTGTGTCACTTTGGCTGGATTGTGCCATGGAATAATGCTGTAAAGTGGCCTTTTATAACCTTCCAAAATATATGAATAGGACAGTGGAATTGTGCCCCAAAGGAACTTTGCTTGAACTGTGTAACTGTTGCAATGAGAACAAAAAATAATAAGTCCTCTTGAGATTTCTCTGTGAGAGGTTCCTGAGAACTGTCATCTCACATATGAACCCTTGAAGAACACTTTGGTTTCAACGCTTAATTTATTACTACAGTACGAATTATCATCTACCACACCCAGTCACTACCCTGGGATTTTATATACAGTATTATAAAAGGAATGTTTCTTTTCTCAATGTATTTGACTTCCTCATGCATAGTAAATGTATTGCCAAACCACCTTGGATTTAAAAAAAATGCTAGATGAAATTTTGGAAACACCATACTGGGAACATATAATAGTGAGGTAAAGCTTGGTTTGGTACTGCAGATAAGTCACCAACCCTGGGAAGAAAAGAATTAAGGGCCTCTACAGGCTGAAAGAAATAATGTAGCTTGAGTCCACTTTAACTGCCCTGGCTCAGTGCTAGGGAATCATAGAATTGCAGTTTTTTCTGAGACATTGAGCCTTCTCTGTCAGAGAGGTCTAGTGCCACAATAAACTACATTCCCAGTCTGTAAAGGCCCTAAGGTTGCTAAAGGCCCTAAGTTGCTAAATGCAGCAATTTTAGTTTATATCCATTTTAATTTGTTTCATTTGTCTTTCATCTCTCCCACTCATGGCTTCTGCTGCAGTATCATGGCATGATTACAATACAGATTTTGTGCTGCCTTTGCTTGCAGCTGTTTCCTCACACTTTGCAGCTGCAGAGACTTGCTTCTCTCCTGTCTATGGTTTCTTCCATTTCTTCCCATTAAACTGACTTCTGCCAACCATTTTCTTGGACCACAAGGACATCTGCTGGGCTGAAGAGGCATACTGAGTGTCCCTTCAACCCTTGGTGTCCCTTCTTCACTTTCCTGGTCAAACAAGTTTCTCAGAGGAGTACAGCAGATGGTTTCCAGTGTGTGCTGGATTGCTGCTGTTTTTAAAAGTTTTGGCAACAAGTAAGTCAAATGTAAGATTTGTTTGCTTGTCTTCTGTTCCCCTGCTACACACAGCTGAGCTTGGAAGCATTACAGTCAAAGGGCGTGGATTGAACTTTTCCATAGCAAAGGAAGTGAACTTATTCCGGAAAACAGGAGAACAATACTCTGCCCTGTGACAATGTCTGAGAAAACTTCAAATTGGTTCACATTTTATTTAAATAACTTAATTAGGAGAGAAAATATTGCAATACCATGAATAGCCAAAAGCCAACCATCCTCCCTAGTATTTATGCTTATGAAATAAGGTGTAAATTATCCTTCCATATGTCAAGTGGCAATCTACACAAAAGGGATGAGAAATGTGTGTCCTTTCAGATGTTGTTGGATTCCAACTTTCATCATGCCTAACTAGCAAAAACAATGGTGTTGCATTATGGGATTTGCACTATAAGAGTATAGGAAGTTATAGCACTTATGACTCATGAAGTCCAATACTAAAGACCCTTTAATGTGGGAGAGCACAAGTGCTAGCGTACCAGTTGTTCATAAGGATACAGCCCCTTTATGACCCTATTCAATTTAAGGCAGTGGATGCCACTCTTTCAGATTAAACAAAAGACATTGACGAGACAATATCTATTAAAACAATGCTGAATATTTCACTCCTGGAAGTGATGTTAGGAATACAGTGGGTCCTTGTTATTTTTTAGACTGTAAGCCTGAGGGCAGAGAACTATCTTGTTAAAAAAAAATTGTAAGCCACTCTGAGAGTCTTTGTGGCTGAAAAGCAGGGCATAAATACACCAAATAAATACACAAATAAATAAATCTTTTGAGGTTTGCTTCCAGGACACCCACACTCCATGGATACCAAAATCCGTGGATCCTCAAGTCCCATTAAATACAATGGTGTACTAAAATGATATTTTTTATATGAAATGGCAAAATCAAGCTTTGCTTTTTGGAATGTATATATTTTAAAATGTATTTTCAAGCTGTGAATGTTTGAATCCATGGATAGGCAATCTGTAGATACCGAGGGCCAACCGTATGCACAAATTCCATGATTCTCATCAATTTGAGATAACCATGGGCACAAAATGGTCAAATACCACAAGATAATGATGATGATTGTATTTTGAAAACTTTGTGCAAAGGCCAATATTTTTGCACACAAAACATGGGTTTCTGTAAAACAGTTCATTTTGTGCCAATTGGTATACACTAGCATAGGTTAAGGATGTAAGGATCTCTCACACAAGCAAAATCATGCTCAAAATTCTGCAACTTAGGACCTC